GCGTCCAACCTAATAGCGATGGCCTCCAACCTGAGAGCGATGGCCTCCAACCTAGGAGCGATGGCCTCCAACCCAAATAGCGATGGCCTCCAACTTAATAGCAAAGGAAAAGGCCTGCAACCTAGAACGATGGCCTCCAACCTAGAAGCACTGGCCTCCAACCTAGAAGCACTGGCCTCCAACCTAAGAGCGATGGCCTCCAACCTAAGAGCGATGGCCTCCAACCAAAGAGCGATGGCCTCCAACCAAAGAGCGATGGCCTCCAACCTAAGAGTGATGGCCTCCAACCTAATAGCACTGGCCTCCAACCTAAGAGAGATGGCCTCCAACCCAATAGAAAAGGCCAACCTAGAAGCGATGGCCTCCAACCTAGAAGCACTGCCCTCCAACCTAATAGCGATGGCCTCCAACCTAAGAGCGATGGCCTCCAACCTAGGAGCACCGGCCTCCAACCTAAGAGCGATGGCCTCCAACCTAGAAGCACTGCCCTCCAACCTAAGAGCGATGGCCTCCAACCTACTAGCAATGGCCTCCCACTCTCCACCGCGATTGCCGCGATAGAAGGAAAAAGAAAGACCAATGGATTGGGGGAACAGCCAGCCTGGAGAAGAGATCCAACAGTGAGTTTGTGATAGTTTGTGTATAGCATGAATAGCAGCATGGATGGATGATGTATGTGTATGCGATTAAGCATATAGCTATTATTCTGTATTCAATGTCCCTTTTCATGTATAATCATGCATGAGGAATGCCACCTTTCTATCTTGAAGTCCATGCCAGGCCTTCGGGTAAGCGAGAAGCAAGATAGCACACGCAACCCGTCGGAGTTCTCCGAGTTTGGGGTCCTTTATGAGGCTTTGGAACTGCTTTTGAAGTCGGTGTGTCCGCATGCCATCAGATCCCACCCCGCAGGTCTGACTGGCGTCAAACGCTCCGCGGGGAATTCCCAACCTTCCCTTGATTCCGCTGAATACTGTATAAACCCTCACCCTCGTGACAACAAAATCACTCCACAAGTGAATCCTCCGAACAACAATGTGTTGAGCATCTTGCCAGTTGGGTCAGAGGAGTGACAGGTGTACCCGAACCGAACTCATTGGGAACCATTTGCAAGAGATGTTTGAGATGGGGATCTGCTACAAATGAATCGTCAAAAAACGACTTGGGTGGTATTTGTATGCCGGTTTGGATGAACTGATACTTATCATCCAAACAGGCCGCAAAAAAACCTCAAATCTTATATATGCCAAATATGCTATCTCAAACAAGCCTAGCCAGGATTTCTCAGCCACAGATTCACTTGCGCTGCTTTGGTCAATTACACAGTCAAAATGAATGTCAACATGTCCACACGTCATAGTTCTCACAAGCTTTCCCTACAATGATCGCCTGTTTGAGATGTGTTTGGGTGGTGCCCGCAATTGATCTCTACCAGTTTTGGCTTTCCTGAAAAATAAGGCTGTTGATTCAAGATCTCAGCAGCTTTCTTGTGCCTAATTACTCTTCTTCTCGCTGACAAAAACGGCGCGGCGAGGAGGTCTGCAACATTTCACTGCAGTCGGGCGCTGATCCCAAGAACCATCTCACTACAGAATCCCAGATAGCTCGAACAGGAGGCACTTTGCATGCTGGAACTGGTGATGGTTCACAAGCCACAATTGTTCCTAAAGTTTTTGTACTGGTTGGACTCCCTAACTGGCTGGAACCACACAGATTGAAGGCCCCTTTAATCCTACTCCTACTCTTGGGAACGAATATCGAATGTTTATTTTCATAGTACTGTAATTGGATCCACTTTACGGGTGGGGAAGCAGAGGTACCGAAAGCTCCACGACTAATCGAGCCACTGAGGTAGCAAGAATCATGGACCTGTTGGACATTCCATGTTGATGTAAAACTAAATGAATATTTAAAAACGGATAAAGTGCCTCCTTAATGAAGCGCCCAGGGACCTTATGACCGAGGCCCTTAATACCTTGGTCTTACTTTTTGACACCGCCTTATGTTTATTAATTCTTCATTGTTCGTCTGTTTCTGCCGTTTATCATAGTTCACCCAACCACGCACCACACAAAACCAGAGAATCCGGTCCTCCGACCTCAAACCCAGCGACGCGATAGCGGGGAGGGTCTTACAGTCTCGACCAGCCATCCATTGCTGTTGGGTTTCAAGCGTACTCGAAGGCACCTCACTGTGTCACTGAGCACGATGGATGTGAGCTAGCTCGTATATCAGGTCACCTACATTCTTGCCCAGAGGCTGCGGATCTGGAATTTTGGGAAGATCCGGATTTGGGAACGCGGGATCCGGGGAAATTCACCAGGTTTGGCTCATCCAGCCTGCTCAAAACCAGTTTTCATGAGGGTAGCGTGAAACTCAGAATAGTTGGCGTTCTGACGTCCTGACTCAGAAAAAGTAGTATTCGAGTGGTAGGTTTTGGCCAAGTGAAACTGATTGGGTGTCAATCCAAGTTTCGGGCGAGCTGTAACAAGTTAAGCCTGTTGCTACATAATTATATAGCGGTTGAGGAGCCTCTTTCGAGTCCTCCGAAACTTTGGAAAGTAACCCTCATACAATTTATACCTCCCGTGAGTGAGTAACCCACAAACAAAAGGTGGAGCATCGAGTGACTCCACTTGACGAAAATTGAAGAATGGTCTGCTTCGAATGGAGCCTGGAGTCTATAGTAACAAGAAGCTACTAGGTGGAGGCCATCGCTATTAGGTTGGAGGCCATCGCTACTAGTAACAAGGACGCTACTAGTAGCTCCCATGTACCACCGACGTGGCGGATTCGAAGCATCCGTGGGTTGAAGCATCCGGCGACTGACAGAGCGACTGACTGTCGCAGACCTGAAGCAACCAAAGAGGGTTGGTGTTCCTTGGAACTTAACTAAACTGAAGGCTAAACGGAGGGTGTGTGGAGAAAGGGGGTCAGCAAACATCGCTTATACGAAGTTAGTGCATCAAAAATGCCTTCCACGAAGTTCTGCGAAGGTTTCTGGGATTTCGTTGCAGTCAGTTCTCCTACTGGCCCACCATTCCACGAACTGTCCACGAACAGCCTTGGGTTCTACGAAGGTCACGCGCCTTCCACGACGTTACTAGAATAGGTTTTTGCAACACCCTTTCTGTGCACTACCCTTCCGTTTGCCTTTGATAAACGGCCCATGGCAAATAGAAATGGCACATGATGCAATGCATGGCTATCCACCTGTTTACAATCAGAGATCCAAATGAGGAGAATGAAGATAGCCTTCATAGGGCAACAAGAGCAAGAAGAGCATATCTCGCAAGGATCGTTCATGCACTACGTCACGTCCATGAAAAAAGCAGGCTATATGCACACTATATATATATGGTGTACTGTACATTTGCATGGCTGTGGGTTAGTTCAACCCTGTAGTTCGTTCACACACTGAAAAAAGTGACTGGGGGCTGTTCACCGATTCCATCGTCTTGGGTGTACACTTTGAACTCCTACACATCAGCCAAAGAGTTGCTGAATGTAAGAGCTCCAACTGTTCCCTTGCAGGTTGCATGAAGCACATGCAACGTTTGCAACAAGCTAGGCGGCTCTAAAGCCTGAGAGAACAAGAAAGATGCCATTCATCAGGATCATTTGCCACTGAGGCCCCCCACGCGTTAACCTGGCGACAATCAGAAGTTGGCCTTCTGTTCATCGATGAGCCGGATACGGAAGTTCGCAACATCCTATCTTTCCAATTTCAATGGCAAGTAGGTAGCAAGGTAGCTAACGACTATCACAATAATTAGTCATGTGATGTCATGTGCAACAAAAAGAGGGCGGCCTTTGTCAGGATTTGTTGCGATCACCCTGAACACTGCCACGATTAATGCTGTGTCAAAAGGACTATGAATTCTGATGTGGACCAATTTGACATCACCTTTATCGATACGTTTTGCAGGTCCTCTGCAAAAATATTTCTAGCGGACTCACAAAAGAATACAAAAGTTATGTTTGTGTCTGGGAAGCTGCGCATGCTTGCCCTTCTCACATGGCAACCTGACTTTCCCAGCAAAGGAATAAGCTGACCATGAGTTTAGTATAGAGCAGAGTAGATGGCAAGTTTACCCCATAGTGAAATGGTTCCCTATGTGTATATATATATATATATGGTGTTAGCCTGTTAAAAGCTGTATACGCTTGTGGTGATCTGATTTTGGGGGGGCCGCGATCAACCTGCGAACCGCTGTCCATGTCAATCAAGTTTGGTTTCAACCTCTTGGAACTCCAGTGCTCCGAGGGCAATGAAGAAACATGCTGGACGGCTCCCTGTTTGAGAAAACACTGTCCACACAGTTGTAAGGTCCACATGGTCGAACTTCTGACATATGGCAAGTTTGGAGAATACATCTTCCCTACTCTGCAGCGATTGAAGAATGGCCCCCATTGACACGAGGAAAGAAGGACTGTTCTCAGCCAAACGAAAACAGCCATTGCTCAAAACATCTCTAAACTACTAGTAACAAGAAGCTACTAGCGGCTGCTACTACTAGTAGCTCCTGGCATTACTACTAGGAGCAAGAAGCTACTAGTAACAAGGGCATGCCGCCGACGCGGGCGCTAAATTCTCAGAATCCCAGAACTGAGGTCAAGGCAAAAGTGATGAATTTTGGGTGGACACCAGTGGATCTCTTTGCTTAGCATCAGAAACTCTACCCATGTCACTCCGACTCAGTGACGTGAAAGTTGACACAAACCGTAAACCCTTGTTTGCAGAGCAGCACTGAGGAAAACAGTCTTCTCACATGCCTTTTTTAAGTAATGGGCCATGGACTGGTGAGGCCCACTGGGCCCCCCGGCAATCGAGATATCGTCATCCCTCCGGCGGGCCTGCGGACTCCAGGCACAGGGTTCTATGGGTAAAAATAGCCATTCAAAGCCATTCTCCCAATTTTCTTCGACTGAGCAATCTATGCTCGTCGCTTGACCTGTCCAACTGTTCTGGTCACTTCACTTGTCATGTCCGTCCCTTTTTGTCTGCTGAGTTTCGCGTCAAACGCTGGAGCTTTGGAGCCACATGTTCGCGAAGCGGCCGGCACGTTTGCCTCGGGGCAAACAGATCACTACCTGTACCTGCAGGCTGACTGTTTGGTTTGAGTAGTAGCTGGCAAACCTGGTGAATATAGAGGTGTCATGTCAAGAGTGGTTTGTTGACTTCAAATGTCCAAGACCTTTTCAAGAAATGTGAAACTCCTGCTTGGTGAGAGAACTATGAGAACAATTGTTGGTTGTTCTGCTCAGAATCCCCGAGAGCAACTATTGGATGTCATGCCTTTCCCACCGAACTCCAAAAATTATCCCAAACCAGCTGACAACTGACAGTACAAATGAGTTCCTGTCTTCTGCCGACGGAGGCCCCATGTACCGCCTAGGCATGTGATGGTTCTAGCATGCTTCACAGCCGATGTGCACCAAGTGTGGGCCTGCTGCTACAGTTATATAAGGTGTCCTAAGAGATTTGCATCTAAGAATTTGAGCCGTTTGCATGCTGTATACTAAACCACTCTTAGGCGGGTCACCAACTGGCAGGGGATGTTTCTGATGGATGGTGTCAACTAGAAGCATTGTCTGGCATGTGCATGTTCTCAAGAAAATGGAGAACGCCCACTCGAAATCAGCAAGAAGTGGCCACAGGCAGCCTCTTTCATGTTTTTTGGTCACGCGATGTTGCCACGTGATATGTATATATTATGAATTCTGAATGCTGACAGATTGAATTTGATTGAATTTGCCGACTTCCAGTCCGTTGAAGGGCAAACGCACGTTCTTTCTTTCTTTCTATGCGCACAGAGCATCACACAGGACAAATCAAAATAAACTCCACTGGTGCAAGCCTTTTCGACCTCCCCACACACTGCTGGTAGCTAGGGCCAGCGAGGACGATGAGCACCCAGGAACACCTCCGAGGCACCCGTGTGGAAGCGGGGAAAGATGATCCGCAGTGGCCGGCTGCGGTCCACGCGCTGCCAAAGGTTGCCTTTGCCTTTGCCCAGACCTCTCGCAGACAGGCGGCCGCAGGCAGTGATATAAATTAGGAGTGAATCAAATCCATTTTAATAGTGATCAAGTAAAACATACTAACTTATTGAATAAAATACTTAAATTATCTGAAATTAAGAAATTTCCAAGCAACATCATGAGAATCATTGCTTATCCGAAGCGGGGGAGTTGAATAGTCCGTTTAGGGCTGCGGGTTGATGACTTCCCGTCAAAATGAGAGAGCATTCTAAAGATGACAAGAATGATCTAGGTGGAGATATTTGACGATATCGATGGGGGTTGCTTCGAGTCTTGTTTGCAGAGGGGGCATGAAATTGTATACCGTAATCCGATTTGGTTTATACATGGTTACGTATGTTTGTTGCAACGAATCTGAGGTGGCCTGGAGGAACTTTGAGTAGATAAATTCGAGAGAATATGAAGCATTTAATAGTTATACAACCGTAGAGAATATGATGCATGAATAAACCATTCACACGGGTCCTATTCCATCCACGTGCATCTCAGAATCGGAAAGGACTTCACTCTAACCGTGTTCGTCTCGTGACCATTCGGTCCAAGCCTGTCGTGACCCAGCTTGACTGTTCATCGCAGTAGATCCTGAGATCCAGAACGGTCACTCACACTAGTAGTCGCAGCTTCCTGTACACATCAATCACCTTGAAAAAATCACATCTAGCCTACCTGAGTCTGTCCCCCCCAAACCTCAGGGTCTTGGTTTATGTTGGACAGCACCGCAGTGGTGTTGCGACTGTTGCAGTGGATGCAGGTACCAAAGTTTGTGTTCTTGAGGGCGGTTGTGGTGAGACACTCGAGAGGAGCTCTTCAATGGCCAGAACCCCCAAAACATGCACAGTGTTTGCAAATTGCCTGCAACGCAAGCTTGCTGCTTCTTTTGCCTTAAAGGGCGGCAATGATCCAGGATCTTCCAAGTCTCGAGTGGAGAAGTACATCACGTTCTCAAGTCCCAGTTCTCGTTTCTGCTGCCCGGCGGGTCAGCCACCCAGAGAATTATGGTAGTAACATCAACCTGATACCCTGTTGACTCCTGGGCTTATCGACTCTGCCACTAGCTGTCCTTTAAAGGTTCGCCAAGATGAAGACCAGCTGTGTAGAATGGTGCCACCCCACTGCAGTATTCGAGTTCTACAATGAGTTGTACCAGTTGTACCTACAAAAAAAAAAGGGCAGAAATCAAACTAAGATGCTTTAAGGTCATGGAACCTTGGAAATATTTAGTATGAGGAAAAAGTCCACTAGCAAGTCGGCATTGGCAATGTCTTGGACCGCTGTGGAAAACGTACCTAAGTGGAATTATTGAAGTCACAAGTTGGATGGCGAAGAACAGCTTTTCGTTTTATAGAAAAGGAAACAACAAAGACGAGGCCTTAGCTTTTCTTTTTTCATATGTTATTATTCTTCACCAAGAAAAGTTGTGTTTGAATACTCAGCCCAGAATGTTCAAAGTTACTTGAGGGTCGCAAAGTATTGGCCAAAGCCTGAGAATTCACAGTCTCGAATGACTTCTGTGACAGACTTCCCATCTAAAGTGTCAAGAATGCTCACGTCCCCAGCAAGTTCTCCACCAATTGCTTGGTGGCTCGTAGATTCCCCAACCACGCACGGCCAGTAGCAGAAACATGACATGCAGAAATCCAGCTAGCAGCTAGCCGCGACCAAACAAGTGAAATGTTATATTCTGCATGAAGCATGGCGGTGTCTTTAATTTTCCACCTTCGAAGACGTTTCATGTGACCTATCTCTGCACTGTTCACGTCACGATCGGTTCGGCATCTTTTGTGAAACACATTTTAGGCGCGTGTGTTTTACACTTTAAATGGCTCTCAAAGGATTGTGTGTGTGCTTGGATATCATGGCCATATTGGCATTGGCCTTTGTCCACGGGTCCGCAGACTCACCTGGGACACGTCGTGAAAGACCTCCAGTGGTAGGTGCGCACGTACCCACTCTCGTTGGTGGACATGCACACTAAGGCTGGTAAGGCTGTTGCTGGACTCTGGGTGACCAGGTTCGTACAAGTCTCCACATGCATACTTTGTCCATGTCGGTTTCATCGCCCTACCCAGGTTCTCGGCGTGGGCACTGGCAATTTCAAGCAGCCTAATAAACACATCTACTTACCCGGTACGCGCTTTGTAATTGAACAGAAGGGGTCATAACGTGTCATCAATCTGAACCCCTTGATCTTTCGTTCCCTCCTTTCGGCCGCTGCCCACCCTGCCGCCAATGTTCCGCGTCGAGGAGAAGAGCTGTGGAAGCACCTCTCAGCTATGGACATTGGACACAGTCTGTGGACATTCCTGGAACCCAAATCCATGTATGCACCGTTCACCTCAAATCGATAGGATCCAAGGACAAACGTGCCAAGAACTGCGCAATTTAACACGTCTCATTCGTCCTGTTTGGCCACACCGATAGTTACAACAGTCAATAAGGCATGAAAACTGATTGGGACTGGAAATTGGATTCCATGCATTGAAAGCGGGTATTCAGTATTCATGTCAAAAACTGAGTGTCCGCCATGCAATAGAAAGGACTTCTAGGTCTTGGAGACTGTGAGGATCCTGTTTCTGCTTGGAACGTCAAGGTGCCTGAATCTGGGGCCTGTTGCAAACAGTGACATCGGAGAGGAGAATCAGAAGTGGGTTAGTTTAGGCCGATTGAAGGTGGGTTTAGTTCCGGGTCGAAGAGTCGGATCAGTTGGAGCTGAGCTTTGTGTTTGTGCTTCTGAGCACCTGATTCAGGCTGATTGGGGTGAGCAACTGTTCCTCTGCGAACTGCCGCGCAATGTTTTCCAGCAAGCCCACGTAGTCCTGATCGAAGGTGCGTTCGCCAACGGACCGCACTGGTGCGTCCACCGCGCACTCTAGCCAGCGACTTGAACTCTGAAAAGCCACATCTAACACATCTAAAGAAGAGCCAAGGACCAAGGAGTTGAAAACAGGCTTCTGAAACGGATTTCAAGGCAACAAACCCTGTGAGGTATTTAGCTTTCTGTTTGGATAAGGTTCACGTCCATGTCAGGAATCCTGCGAAATATCAGACCCCTTCTCACACTTAGTGTGGATTGCTGTGATGGGGATGTTGACTTAAAGCAATGGAGCATAGGCGGCTTAGTCCAACAACAGTTGCGCTTTGCTTAGAGCCTCAATGCCGCAGAACATGCTAAAGTCTTGAGAAGACCTCTTCAGCATGCAGAACTCGTGCAGCGGCACACAACTTTCACACGCCCGTCCATCCTGATTGTATGCCAGGGTGTGAGAATGTGGGTGTTGGGTGTTGGCAATGTCACACTTCTGAAGCGGGTTCAGTCGCTTTCACATGCGTCAAGTCCTTTGAAGTCAGCACAGGTAGTACTTTGTGATGTTCAACTTCCTGTTCTCAAGTTTATGCGAGGTCCATCTAGCAAGTGTTGTCTGGGAGCCTGAAAAGGTGCCATGCAGCAATGCACGGACGACCGCTCTCAAGTGTGGCAGCTTTAGCAACTGTGTAATCAGTAAGCCGTAAGCATTAAAGAAAAGTTCTATATATATATATAGAGAAAAGTTTCAAACAGAACACCACTGGATTTCCGTGAAATTGAGCATGTTACTGGTGAGTCATTTTTGCTCACACACTTTGCCTGGCAGCTTGTCATTCCATCATATCCCATCACCCCAGACCCCAACATGTTTAATTTATAGCTGTGTTGAATGTTTCTTTGTCAAAACCCAGTGATGGAGGGAATTGTAAGTCTCCTGCAGGTATTCCATGAAAGAGCTGCTCTGCCGGGTGAGGTTTCCCGACTCGAAGTCGCCTCAAAAGGCGCCGTGCAGTCGCCCAATATGGTCCGACATGTCTCATCTTCAAGCGGTCAAACCATGTCAAACCATGTCAAACCCATCCGAGATCTACCCCTCGCCTAGAAGGCGTCAGTTGGTCCAGGATCTTGACTTGGGACGTGTGGAACCCATAACTTGACCGCCATAGATGTGGCCCATTCTGGATCCGAGCTTAGCTGAGCTACCAGTCACGAACTTGATCCACAGTCATAGCTCCTTTGCTGACGAAAGTCTAGTTGGGAGAGCAGCTGTCTTCCAAACATCACCCACTAGGTCACTGGGATATCCTGCACCATTTCTACTAGTTGCTGGAAGCTACTAGTAACAAGGGCATCGCTACTAGTAACAAGGGCATTTCTACTAGTAGCTAGAAGCTACTGAGTGACCATGAACTTCATCACCTTACTAAGCATGACTTGACTTGAGACACTCGTAGAACTACATACAACTTCAAGGCCACTGAAGAGAGGGTCAAGTGGTGGGGCAAACTTGTTGGGTTGACAATAGACCTACCCTCCCACTGTAGCTTCTAACCCAAGTTGTCCCACGCGCTTCACCATTTCTACATCCTAGCCTGTCAGGCAGTATGCCGTATGCCGCTGGTTTTCCCCTTCAGCCTGGTGACTTCCCCGCGGTGCAGCACCACACCAAAGCTCACCGAAGCTGGCACTGGACGCCGGGGACACCACAGACGCTGTGATGCCAGGCCCAGCTCCGGGTGTGGCAGATTCTTCGTCCTGATTCGTCAGGGATTGCGCGAGTCCGCCCTGAGGCAGGAGTCGAACAAAGTCCAGCTGGGCGTTTTCAACAGGGGTCTCCTTGTTGTTTTCAAGTGATGCCGAGCAGTTCCAGCTACGGTTCTTACTGTGGAGATTGGCTTGGATACATGGTTTTGGCTTTGGCATTACATCTCGTGGCACTATCTGCAGTCTCTCCTGCACTTATCCAAACGTTGGACCATTTTTTGGCCCGTCGTTCGGTGGACGCATCAACTTTTCAGACAAAAACTGTCACCTGTCACCAGACACTAGGATTGCGGATGATACGCACACAGGCCTGTCAAAGAACTTTCGCTTCCTTGCTTTGGAAGGGTGCGTTTTGTTGAGATCTGGATTTGCCCGACATACACAACGCACAGTCTAGCCCGAAAACCACTGAATCAAGCCCCGCGGAGGCCTTGTTAGCATCTCTTGTCACATGAATGAACGAATGAATGAATGACTAAATGAGAGAGAGAGAGAAAGAAAGAAAGAAAGAATGAAAGAAAGAAAGAATGAAAGAAAGAAAGAACGAAATAATGAATGAATGAAATGAAATGAAATGGAATGGAATGGAATGGAAAATGAAATGAAATGAAATGAAATGAAAATGACAATGAAATGAAATGACATGAGATGAAACGACATGAAGTCAAATGAAA